CACACAGACATATTTCGGCCGTGAAACCTGTCTTAATAGTGGATGAAATATATGAATAATTCTAATAWGCGTAGTTAAGCAGGTCGTGGTATTGTCTGTGATACCAACACATGAAATAGATAAAGATAAAGATTAATAAGTAATAAATAAAGATATAAAGATGAAAAATAAAAATTTATTAAGGTCTTCCTTACACATATTTTCGGGATTAATACATTAAAAAAACAAAATTATATTTTTTACTGATTTATATGAATGTCTCCATTCTTGTTTTTACTTTCTTCATATTTAAAATCAGGTCATTCGAATATTCACAAAAGCATGGTAAGAAATATAGTATATGTTATCTAGAAAACACGCTTAACTTGTTCACTTATCATTAGGTTTCCTCACGGCGCATTGCTTTCTTAAATATACATACAGTCGATATTTGTTAATTCAAATCTGCGATTTTCTGAACCACTTTATATTTAAAAATTGTCACGAGTTCCCTACATAACATCTTTATATATCGAATTGAACCAATACATTTTTATGCACTCGGTTAATTCAAATTCATAGGCGTCCAACATTCGACAATTCAATGTTGCAGAGAGAAGGTGGAAGGAGTGTAAGTGCATTTTGCGACAACTTCCAAACATGTAGCAACGTGCACCAGCCTTTCTTTTTGTGATGATTAGTGTGACTTTTTGACACACACTTCTCAYAAACTGGTTTGTTTAGTTATCATTCAGTTATGGTTGCACTTTCTTTGGTATACAGATTAAAACTTTGTCTTTGTTCTGTACTCTAGAGAGCATAAATGTTTGACGATTGCTGAAAAGAAGAAGTTTATCGAAAAAGTAGAAGAAGGTGGGAAAAAAAAATGGGGGATCAGAAAAACTTAAGCCCTGAGTGACAGGAAAATCAATGAAACCGCGATGTTTAAAGGTTGTGAAATCGTTTTCTACTGATTATCGTGCTAACAAAAAAGCTTGGATGAAAACAGAACGATAAAAGCGGAAAATGTTACTATTTATAAATCACAGCAGTTCTCCTAAAAAGAATTTTATTCACCTTTTCTCTTAAAGTTATTGAGCAATCTGAGCAGCAGCAATATACTTTGAAGCAAACAGGTATAACAGAGTTCTTTCGAAAKATTAATTAATTCACATATGTATATACACATGAATGCACCTCTAAACTTTTAACGTTGTAGATATAAGATAAGCAGTTAATAAATAATAATTGATCAACACTTAATAATTCAAAGTTTTATTAATTTCCTCTCACAAATTTCGAAACATTTGATATTTCAAACACTCGATAATTCGTAATATTTTAAGAGTCACTCGAGTTTCGAATTAACGAGAGTCGACTGCACTAAAGTTATAKACGTAAATTTGTGCATGTATGTACATAAGTATGCCTGAGTATGCTCGTGTATGAAGGATGTGCATACGCGCTTAATAATTCAATATGTCAAGCCCACTTGAGTGCGTAATCAGTTCCGAACACCAAATTGTACTTGTTATATGAGCGAAGCGAGCAAGCGCATTCATATGGGCGCTTATGGCAAACCACACCCAACGATGTGCCATACAACGATGCCGCAGGTAAAATGCATACAATGCAGATGTGTGGCTGCGATGGCAGCTTGTTTTTGGTATCATTGCATTGCTCATAATTTGGMGCAATTTATGCGATCAATCTATCCATTATGACACAAGAAACAAGAAAAAACGTTAACTTCGGCTGCACCGAAGCTAATATAACCTTCACAGGTGCATTTCTTTTAGTAACTATGTGTTCAGTTTATATGGCAGCTATATGCTGTAGTGAGCCGATTTGAACAAGTTCCTCATATATTACAATATTATCTTAAGTAGTAATTCATTCCACTGAAGAKTAATTTGAAATAAAATTTCCTGCCTCAATTAAGAACTCAGCGGCCCCTTTTAATCAAAAAAACCCATCACAAAACCTCAAATATGACAAGGTAGTTATTACGCAAAATTTTASATATTTGAGTGTGGCATAGCATCGGTGCGACCTTGTTCAATAGTAMTCACAGATACTCTCGTCCGAAATCAATTTTGCATTGAACGAAAAAATTGCAGACAAGGTTAAACTATACAACAAATACATGCCTGCATGAGTGTAGACTACTACAGTGCTGTACGGCATAACGATTGCAACAAAATTCAGCGCTCTAATGAATAATTCAATTTCATGACCCTCTCGTTAGGGATATTGACTAAARCAAAAACTTACAAAAGTAAGCTCGCACGCAACTTAATTGCTGAAATAGCGTCAAAGAGCTGGAAAAGCTGATGGATGGCAAAAGASGGCTAAAAGCCATATGTATGTGGCATATGTGGTTTGATGCATGCAAATATGAAATACAAGTTTCCGAAATGTAGTGAACGTAATTGGGTCACTTTTATTGCGCCGGCAATGCGCTCGCCTTTGTCAAAAAAAAAAAAAAAAAAAACCTTAAACGGAGACTTTTCACACATTCACACATATTTTACATCCAACCAGCCTGCCGATTTTCGCACACAATTCCAGAAATTGCCAAATTAATGGAGTAAAGCGCCAAATTCAGCCACTTTGCTCTAGCCTCCACTATACGACCGCTTAAAACAACATAGTTGAATAACCCCTACTTATTTAGTGGTACACAATTGGCAGTCTAACTACCTGCCTACCATTTGCCAAACAGTCARTATTATCCCACATAACGAAAAGTTTGCAATATCGTCTGTGACACAACAAAGATCACATATTTTGGTTGCAACCTTTATAAACGAAGCGTTGCTAACTGCATTACAGTTATCKACACATTATAATTTTATTGTTGCATGCAACACATTTCGATATGCATGCTTTAGTTATCTACGCCCGCCATTTGCTTGTGGCAGCAGTTGCGGCATTATGCAACGGTTTTCTATGCGTATAATCGGCGCGTGACAGCAACATTATGAATACATAGTATYATCTGCGTTAACGGTATTTAAATGGACAAGTGATTATTTCAAAATGCTATGCGGCTAAATCGGTTGAATTATTGACCGTGTGTGTATGTGAACGTGTTTGTTTTTRTGAGCGTGCTAACCTGTTGGAAAATACTGGGCTACAATCTCTTTAATTGTATTACTATTTCTCTGATAGCTAAATTATTCAAAATAGTTTTCGCACTTCCGTCGAATAAATTGAATATATTTGATAACTTTTTAAACATTTTTACAACATTTTTTTAGAAGTTGTCTCACAAATTCATAAATATAATTTTTTTAATAAATTCGGCATTCTAGTCGGGCTATTGCTATTAAAAAAATCCGAACTGGTATGCTATGTACGCAACAGATGTAATTTCATCTTTATATATACATCAATATACATACATACATTCCACATGTATAATTCRTTTCTATACAAATCCTACCATTTGAGTATGTAAAATCAAAAATTTTTGGCAAACATAATTATATTTTCAGTGATTTTGAAAATATAAGTATATTGAATTCATATACATATATTTTTTTTTTTTGTTTCAATCGCTAATCTCACAGCAATTCCAAATACGATTATGATTACTTTGAAAGAGAGATATGAAAGGATTGGCTGGAAGCCGTAAATATTTCTATCTGCGTGCGTGCTACTATAAT